AACCCAAGAGAGCGGGCACAGCGTTCAAGGAGAACCCTTCTGCTTTGCTGGAGCTCAACTCTTGATTCCAACCAAATATAAGCAAGAGCTTTACAGCGTGGTCGCAGATTATCAAGAAATCAGGAAGCTGAGAGGTCTGAAAGTAGGGATAGGAGTTGCCCAGGTTTGAAAAATATAGAGGGGGGATTCTGAAAATTATAGATTGGTATGTCATTTTTTCTGTCCCCTTAGTATTGGGGGATTGAACCCAGGGCCTCAAGCATGACAGGAAAGTGCTGTACCACTGAGCTACGCCCCCCACCCTTAGCTATGTCTTATGTTGCTCCATAGTCAGACAGGTTTTGAGCTCTTATAAAAGGTGGCAGGAAGGGCTGGAGAAGTGGCTCAAGTGGTAGAACTGTAGCAGGGAGGAGGACCAGAAAAGAAACACACAAGTTTGTGTTCTGATAATATAGCAGGGGGAAGGGATTGCACAGCAGAGAGATAAAACCTAAAGAACTGAAACATGAACAAGGTCACATAGCATGGGGGGAATGAAATAGCCAATAGAGTCACATGTAACCATATATGGGTTAAGCTTTGTTTTTTGCTTCTGTAACCTGCTTGCCAAGGGTATATAAAGAGAGATCCCTTTGTTTTCAGGACCCAGCCTTTGGACACGAGTCCACTGAGTCTGTGCTGGCACAATAAAAATGTTGTTTCCTGCTAAACTGCCTCAGTGTCCCGTTTCTCAGCTTGAGAGTCCTGTAACAGAACATCTGCCAAGCAAGCATGAATCCCTGAATTCAAGCCCCAGTACCTCCCCCCGACCAAAAAAAAAGGAATATAGTTTAGCTGGGTGCTGGTGGCTCACACCTGTAATCTAGCTACTCAGGAGGCAGAGATCAGGAGGATTGCAGTTCAAAGCCAGCTCTGGCAAATAGTTCGTGAGACCCTATCTCAAAAAAAAAAAAAAAATCACAAAAAAGGGCTGGTGGAGTGGCTCAAGGTACAGGCCCTGAGTTCAAACCCCAATCCTGCAAAAAAAAAAAAACGAAGTGGCAGGTGTTACTAATGGCCAATGTGATTCACAAAAGGTGAAGTAGTTAAATTAACCTCATTTTCATGTTGATCGATTTTGGGTATTGCTATGCATATTATATACTTAATTTTAGCAAAGTACCTGACACAACTTTTCAGAACTCCCAGTAGGCAAGAGGAAGAAATAAGGGTGAGATTTAAAAGTATGATTAGCCAAATTGTACGTGGCTAAGCATTCATCATCAATGAAACAGCGTCCACCCTAAAGACACGGTGGGTGCTCGGTAAATATGTCACACTAATGAATCAAGGTGGAGGGAGGTTTCCGACAGCATGCCCCAGTCTCCTTCACTATTTTTTATCTTTCATTTAGATGGTAACTTAGGAATCATGGTCAAATTCACAGGAAGCAAAACTTGGAGAAGCAAAACTTAAGTCAATGGAAAAAAAGCAAGATTCAAAATGAAGCCACAAGGTTAGGGTGACGGGTAGAAGCTGAAATGAGATGAAGAGAGACCCTTACAAGTCACCCACTAGGTTCCTAAAAGCAGCTTGCATACGTGAAGAGGGAGGGCTTGCCTTACCACATCTCATGCAAAACAGATCTACAGGCTAGAAATGGTCACAGGTTCCCTGTGTTTCCTTAGTAGGAAGTGGCTGCTGAAACACAGTTGCAACCTTAGGCTACAAGGAGGATGGAGGAAGGAAAGAAAAGCCCCAGTATGCACTGCTCCAGCCAGTAAGAATGTGGTTTGTGTTTTGTGGTACTGGGGATTGAATCAGGGCCTCATGCTAGACAACTGCTGTACCACTTGAAGAGTTTGAGTTATTGAGTTCTTACTACATGCTGATACTATGCTGTGTTCACATGAATGGCCATTATACCTCTGGTGAAGTTTTGACCAAAGAGGTTATCTAGATTGGGTGTGGTGGCACACACCTGTAATCCCAGCACTCAAGAGGCTGAAGCAGGAAGACTGAGAGTTCAAGGCCAGCCTGGGCTACATAGCAAGATCCTGTCTTAAAAATCAAACAAAAGGATATCTATTGCAATGGAAGGGGGAAAGATCTGTTTTTTTTGCATGTAACATTAAGTTGGTAGAAGTATATGTAGGGCTGGTGGAGTAGCTCAAGGGGTGCCTAACTAGCCAGCATGAGGCCCTGGGTTCAAACCCCAGTACCACTAAAAAAAAAAAAAAATCAAAAATCAAATGTAATAGGTGGAATTTGATTAGATCCTGGGTTTTGGTTTTTTTGGGGGGTAGAGGTGGGTGGGGTGGGTGCATTATAAATGACAGGAGACAACTGAGGAAATTTTGAGTATGGACTAGAAATTAGACATCAGGAAATTGTTACAATCCTGTGTGGGATTCTGCTGGAAAATGTCCTCACACTTAGGAGATTCAGGCTGAAGTTCTCAGGGGTGAAGGGTCATGATGGTCCGCATGTTATTTTCAAGTGAACTAGCCAGAGAAATATACAAAAATGGAGGTCTACAGACCAAAAATGGCAAATGTGAAGCTGTGCCTCCGTGAAAGCTTTCTGAATACATTCAACTTTTGTTTGAAATTTTCCTAATAAAAATGTTGAGGGAAAAAAAAGGATGGTTGGTAAGCAAGGAGCTTCCTGGGCACCGAGGTCAGATGTAAGGCAGACGGCAGAGCCCCTGCTGATAGCTCTTGTGTGTGTCTGACTTACGAGCAGTTGTGGCAGCTTGCTGTCTGAATTGTGCTTCCTTGCCAAACCAGGCTGAGCCCACCTGAGAAGGCTGTGCCAGGAGAAAGAAGGGGTCGACACAATCCTCACAATAACTCAAATGAAGACATCAGGGCTCAGAGAGGGAGGTAGTTTTAACTACGGTCACACAGCTGGCCTGTATCAGGGCAAGGATTTAAATGCAAAGGGTCTTGACTCCAGGATCCAAAGTGTCCACCACAGCACTGGGCTGGCAGGCATCTGCAGTGGAGTATCAGCCCCACCACTGAAGAACGCTGACAGATCAGAGAGGGACAGTTTAGAAATCTTGACCTATGGGAAACACTGGGGATTTGGTTTTGTTTGGGATGAAAATGTTGGGAGAATGTGATGACTGTCCGAAAGCAAGATTTATTTTACAGAGGACAAGCACACATGATCGAGTTCAACTTTCTAAGGATTAGGGAGCCATCCTGAGTCGGAGTGGTTGCTTTGTGAGGTGCTGAGAATATCCAAGCTGAGGATGCTCATGTGTTCTACCCTGAGACGCTCTCCTTCTCTCAAAGGGCCGATAGCACCGCTGAGACCCACTCAGCCCCTCATCACCCTTGGCTTTGTTGGTTTCATGACTGTAAATTTTGCAATTTTACTGAGGTACAACTTCAGCACCATGTGACTCACCCATTGTAAGTGAATGATCTGATGATTCTTAGCACATTTACAGTTGTGCAACCATTAACACAGACTGTGGTTGGCTTCCTTCTTTCCCCTTGACACACTCTGGGGGCATCTCTGGAAGCCAGTAACTCTGGAGACCAGAGTCTTTGGCAGACTTCAGGGCAGCAGTGTGCACTGAGAAGGTTGTTGGCCCTGGTGCCCAAGTCCTGTATTTGAACCCTTGCCAGGTGGTCTCCAGCAAGTCAGTTTACCTCCCTGAACCTCAGGTTTCTCCCTTTTGTAATGCAGATGTAACACATGTGCTTTTCTGGGGGAGAGGACATATATGTAAAGTATCCACCCATGCTCAACAAATGGCAGCCGGGATTGCTGCTGTTACCTCTGTCATTATTATTGGCACTCAAAGGACCTCTGCTCTGGGTGCCTATTTCACCTTTATCTTCGAGGCATATCCTGTTTCTGGGTTACTCCTAGTGTCCAGCGCTTATCACACAAAAAAACAATTCTCTTACACATTTGGGAGTCCACGGCCACCCCAGCCAGGGCTAGGGGCCTGGGGCAGGGGAAGGCAGCTGGGGTGGTACAGCAGTGCCACCTAGTGGTAACAAGCAGCAAGCTATGCATTAGCCAAATACAATAGCTGGTCAAATAGTTGGACACCTTTGTAAGTCATCTATCGCTCACCAATGCATGAGTGTGGCCACAGTGTCCTCCTAGAAATGACTTCCCATGCCACGAACTAGAGTAAAATATGAGGACAGGAAGAATGGAAAGCAAAACAGGGGAGTTCTCAGTGGGCTCCTCCTCAGAGACTAAAGGATGTTGAAAAAGTTTAAAAAGCACTCTCACCAGGGCTGGCAGAGTGGCTCAAGTGGTAGAGCACCTGCCTAGCAAGCATGAGGGCCTGAGTTCATGGAGACGCCCCCGCCTCAAAAAAAAAAAAGCATCCCCACCGAATATGAACGAGACTAAAAGTACATCAAAGTAGATCAGTAGCTGGTAGTTGTCTTGGGCTGGGGGTATCTTTCCTTCATAAAATTTCTCAAATTGATTGTAGTGATGGTTGTGCACATCTGTAACACACTAAAAATAATCAAATTGTATACCTTTCAATGGGTGAGCTGAGTGGTATATGAAAACACTTCAATGCAGTTTCTTTTTTGTTTTTTTTTTTTTTGGTGGGACTGGGGTTTGAACACAGAGCTTCGAGCTTGCAAAACAGGCACTCTACTGTTTGAGCCACGCCTCCAGTCCATTTTGCTCTAGTTATTTTGGAGATAGGGTCTAGCAAACTATTTGGCCAGGCTGGCCTCAAACCTCAACCCTCCTGATCTCAGCTTCCCAAGTAGCTAAGATTACAGGTGTGAGCCACCAGTGCCCAGCTCCAAAGGTATTTTTTAAATCTCAAAAACCTCAAAAGGAAAAAAGCTCCTCCACGGCACACCTTCAGATCTGTGCGCTGTGGGGCTTCGATCTGCTCTCCAGCTCCAAGTCAGAGAGAGAGAGAGAGAGAGAGAGAGAGAGAGAGAGAGAGAGAGGCAGGCAGACAGGAGTGAAAGTGAGTGAAGTACACGGCTGGGGCCTCGGAGTAGACCCAGCACCTCCAGCGCCTCCAGTGTCTTCTGTACACATGCCCTGGGAGTGTTCAGGAGAAAAGTCTAAGATGGAGGGGAAAGAGATTTAACACAGTTCAAGACATTCAGAGGCACATGGCTGTCCTCTCCTTTCAAAGCAAATTCTTTATTGTCCAACCAATCAGCAAGTGTTAATGAAGCCCAGCACCATGCCAGGTACACTGTTACTAAGTATAAATACAAAAGTGTAGACAGACCCTGCCAACTTGAGGCATACAATCTAGTATTTTTCAGGAATTCCTCTGTGGTTAAAATCAAGTCTGGGCTTAGTTGCCAGTACTGCAATGAGCACTCTTTATAAAGTTAACATCTTAAAGAAAAAACATCACACCCCACATTTATCATGGCATGAAATTTTTTCCTAGTATAACTTCTTTGTGATCAATAAACAAGGTTTACTTTTGTGGAAATTCACTTTACCATCTTGAATCAAGGTTTGTTTTTTTTTTAAAGCAATTTTAAAAGGTTAAGTAGTGGAAGTGCTTAGGTACAAATGCAGCCAATAGTTGTCAGGGCAAAAGAGCTCTGGCGTGAGTGACACCAGCTCATCTCCAGAGCATTCTATTATTTGCACGACAACACAGAGCACATTTCTAAACAGCTCCTAAGATGTTATTGCTGTCCACAGAGGAAGTCAGCGCTGTGGGGAATGGTCTAGACAAGAGATGCATTTCATAGCAACATTTAGCACCAACTTGGGGGCAACATCAGGGGTTGCCAGGAACTTCAACCCCCAAATTAACCTCTTGACTCTCTCAAACTCTCAAAACTCACAGGTATGTGGTTCTGGGAACAGAAAGTAACCAAAAGCATAAGGTGGACTAAGATAGCTGTACACAGTGACAACTCCACCCAGGAGCCAGCCTCCTGCTTCACGCATAGAACATTTAGCACAGAGCAAGGAAATGGGGGCAGCAGCCTGGGGATGGGGTGGACTGAAACCTGAGACAGTTATGCCACAACACAAAAGCAACTTCACCTCACTTCCTCCACCCACTCTGCTTCCACTGTGAGCACTGTAAGAGGTGCTGGAAAGTTTTCTAGTGGTACAGTCTTGATACTCCAATAAAAAAGATCACCAATTTCTTTAACTAAAGCATGTTAAACCAGGAAGTCTGGGCTAAAGAGGAACTTAAGAGGAAGGTTCCAGTCTGAACCTCTGCACACCTGTAGTGAGCAAGTACCTTTGTGCCTTGAGGATCATTTGTTTTAAAGCACTGAAAAGTGAGTTGCTAGCTTTGGCAAGATGGAAAAGAATGACCACTCATTCCTTCCTTTTTACAAAAGGACACCAAAGTCTAATGGGATTCCAGGCACCTAGGACCGCAATCACAACCTGTCCCCACTCCTGCTCTCCTGTTCCACCCTGAAGGCTCTCTGACTATCATGCACCAGGGAGCCTCAGCACAGATGATCTCCAAAGCTACTGAAATGGAAGATTTAAAATGTAACACTGGTTTTCTTAAAATGTAATACTGGTTTTTCTTGTAGTGTGTATAAGGCACGGTGTGAGAAAGCTGCCCCCACTCCCAGCCACACAGCCACTTGGGCTTCTCACATACACACACACACACGCACATGGAAGAGGCCAGCTGGTTTTGCCACATCGCACAGGGAATGGGTTGTTTCTGATCACTTCTGGTTTTTGAGCTGGTTGGAGAGCCAGTCCAGGCCTTCATATAGCCCATCCCCACTGGTGGCACAGGTGGCCTGAATGTACCAGTTTCTCTGGCGAAGGGAATGTAAGCCGAGCTTGTCCGTTATCTCTGCGGCGTTCATGGCATTAGGAAGATCCTTGAAAGAGAACGTGCGAAAGTGTGTCATCTCTGTCCATACAATGCAACAGTCTCCTTCTAATGTGTTTCAACCTAGTCTGCTCTCAGTGGCTCAGGCCAAAAACCCTGAAATCATTCTTAACTTTTTCTTTCTCTCAAGTCCACAGTCATGTCAGGAAATTCCAATGGCTCTACATCAAAATATATGCAGAACTGGACCACTTCTCACCACCTCTGCTCCTACCACCCTGATCCAACCCCACCATGGTTTCTCACCTGAGTTACCAAAATAACTTTTTTTTTGTGGGACTGGGGTTTAAACTCAGGGCTTTATGCTTGCTAGCAAGTGCTCTTAACCACTTGAGCCACTCTACTACTCCTGTTTTGTGTTGGGTATTTTTGAGATAGAGGCTCACTTTTGTTACCTAGGCTGGCTTTAACCTGTGATCCTCCTGATCTGTCTCCTGAGGAGCTAGAATTACAGGCATGAGCCAAGCACCCAGTTCCAAAATAACTTCTTTACTGGTCTCCTGGCTTCTGCTCTTGCCTACTAAAGCCTATTCTCAACCCCAGGAATCAGTGAAAGTCAGATTAAATCATTCTCCTACCAAAACTAAGCCACAACTCACTAGTCAGAGCCCTTTTGATGGCCTGCAAAGCCTCAGGGCACTGAGGCCCAGTTGCATCTCCTAATTAGCCTGCTCCATCTTTTCAATATAGTGCTCACCATATGTGACCACATTATAAAAGTTATTTAGTATGTTTAACATATATTATGTCTCCCTAACCAGAACATAAGCTTTACAAGTGCAGAAATAATTACCTTTTCTCTGATGCATCCCAAATGCCTAGCACACAGTAAGCTCAAACTAGATTTGGATTCATTAGCACTAAAGAATAAGGAAAATATAGATGTACTATGGAAAGAGGTTGAAGATACGCTAAGTGAAAAAGCAGGTTGCAAAGCAGAATATATAATGTGATCTCTGGAATTTAAATATAAATATGTCATATAATTGCTTGTATAAGTATAGAAAATTGTACCTCTGGAAAGATATAAGAAACTTAAGTGTTTTATTCTGAAGAGTAGAACTGGACTACTTCACTTGATATTCTGAACTGCTTTTCAAATTTATATCCTGAAAAATATGTTTTTATTATTAAAAACAAACTTATTGTTTTCTTTTTAAAAGTCCATTATGTTCACTTGCAAAACGCCTGACATCCAGCCTGAACAGTGGGGTAACAGCTGAGTGACTCATGATCCATCCACAGTGGAAAATAGGGTTTACAAGAGTGGGAGGACAAGAGAAAAGGTGTCTGATAAATTAGAAGTGAAAAATCAGGCTGCAGCACTGTCATAACAGTACAAGCTCAGTTATATAGCCATGTGTCCGTGGAAAGAAAGGGAGTAGGCCATTATGTAACAGCAGTCACCTCCCGCTGCCACAATTCCACCTTCTCTTTCGCGCTCTGTCCTGCTTAGATCCTGAGGCTGGACAGTTGCGCATCAGCCCTCTTCTCAGAAGTCTTTTAGTGCTGTATTTTTATGGGCAAACCCTTTTCCTCCCCAACAACAGGCCCCATAAGATCAATTTCATCTGTGCCCTTCCACCCCTACTCAGACTATCCCTAAAACTGCATGGCTCCCTTTCTCCCATCTCAGAGTCAACTTATAAGAGTCATGGGATTCTCAGTCCTTCTCCACAGTCACTCTGCTCTCTATTCTTCCACACTTACAACCTAACACATTGTACAATATTGGCTGACTGCCTCTCCTCCCACTAGAACGTAAACTCCATGAACACAGGGACTTTTGTCTGCTATGTACCCAAACCTAAAACAAAGCTGGAACTTAATGGATGCTCAATTGAGTGAGTGAATGAATATAAGTCATTCTAAAAAGGAAATGGGGGAGGGGTTAGATTCGGACTGGAGAGAAAGAAGTAGACATCTAATTTAAATAGCTATAGATTTAAGAGAGAAGGATCTGGCAGCAAATTTCAGTCCCAGTATTCAAAATGCCAACAACATACCTGCTTATTTACAAACACCAACAGAACTGCATCTCTGAGCTCATCTTCTGCTAACATTCTGGTTAGTTCTTCCCGGGCCTCATTGACTCGCTCTCGGTCATTACTGTCAACCACAAAAATCAGACCTGGAAAGAAATCCCAAGCACATTAGTAATGTGAGCCTGAAAAGAGCAGCTGTTTACACATCTGCACAGCTTCTCCCTACTCATGTGTGCGGTTTCATTGAAAGCAATCAATAGGAAAGGATATATAATCTCCAGAATAGGAAGTTTGCTGTAAACTCAATTCTCAGATCTCTTTCAGAAGGAACACAGCCCTTCACCAGATTAACAATAACAAGAGGACACAGAGAGGAGGTTAAGTGTAGTTCTTAGTACTTAATTTCCACATCAGAGGAAAAAAGGATTTTCAAAAACATGCAGTTTACTACAATAAACAGCATTCTAGGGCTGGTTCCCTAAAGTAAAGCTTAAAACAAAGGCCTAGGTGCAGGAGCTGTATTGGGAAGTGATCCCAGGGAGCAGCAAGGACTAAAACAGGGAAGGGGGGACAGCCAATATAAAAATGAGTGATCAGGTTGGCCACTCCTATGTGACCGGTGACTGACATTGTTGGACACTATTGAGGAAGACTTGCTTAACAGTAGTCCACATGACAATAACAATAACAACCACTTGGTATCTGGCTGATAGCAAGCCTTCTGAGACAAAAATGTGAAGTGATTGCTGAAAGGATCACTGGATCCTCGGCTGAATCACCAGTTGTAACGGTAGCTCAGTTTCTGAAACAGATGAGGGTGGTAACGAGCAGGCTCTCCTGGACATCAGTCAGAACATCTTGAGAACATTACACGGTCAGTGTTGGATCCCATACTCTAGAGTCCCTCCTTCTGGAAGGACTCAAAGAACCACCAGGATTGCAAAGGCATCAGACACCAGATGCTATTTACCTAAGAACCTAGCATCAGACTGACTACTTCTGAGAAGGAGATACATTTACACATGAATAGTAGACTATACTGTGTTTTTTAAGAGAATATATATATATATATATATATACACACACATACATACACAAAATATATCTAGACAAATACACAAGAAATAAAACTGTTTATGGGAGGAAAACTAAGGAATGAGATCTGTGTACCCTTTTCTTACTTTTTAATTTTGAACCACATAGATATAATTGCCATACAACAAATTAAGCGAACTTCCATTCAAGGAGAAAAATCTTTCCGCATGGTCCAACTAATGGACCATTTTATGGATTCTGTACAATATATCAATTAAGAAAACACATAAACTTCAATCCATACAGGTGAAACCTATGCAGTTAAATGTCTTAATAGAGAGCTAAAGCATTCATTAAGCTCTACCACACTCAACACATTGATGAAGAAAACTTCAATTAAAAGGCAGCCTGACCTTAGGGAAGATGGCAGAAAAAACTGGGGCAGCATCCAAGACTACTCAAGGATGAGACATCTGGTTCAGCCAGAGACAAGTCCATTCTTCATCCATTCTTCAAACAGCACCCATTTGCTATTTCATGAACAGCCCAAATTACCCACACCACAGTCCTAGAATATAGCCAGTTCCCTGCCATCACTGCAGTAGTTACTGAAGTTCAGTAAAATTAGGCTTGTTTGAACAGAAGATTGAAGACAAAAAGGCACTTCAACTTGGTATCTGAATGTGCAAACTGAATAGAGGAGGAATCCTACCAGAAAACAACCAAGTGAAACTTCAATTCAGGCTTCTATCTGAGAGCCTACTGCCTCCCAAGCAGAACTAAGCACTCCGCAGATTTCACCTCATTTCAGCCCAGTGTGCAGGCAGTAGGCATCATCTCCATTTTAAGATAAGGAAATGGAAGTGGATGAGATGACCTAACTTTCCTGTTTCACAGCACAGCTCTGGTTCAAACCCACATGTTCTAGTTTTATTACAGATGAAGAATAGCAAGAGTTTGGTCAAGTCAGCAAATGCCAGTCTAAGATAAATGGGATCTCTGAGTATCAAAATATAGATGGAAATACAAAATATAAAAATCTAACCATCACCACAGAAGTTGCTAGGCTATTAAGTGGATTATCTGAAAATTAATAAAAAATGAAGCATTTTTCCTGCCTTCTTTATACAAACATATTTCAGGGAAACCAAATAACAGAGCTAAGCAACAGTCTTTAATGGACACTAAAGGCATCAAGCCAAGGATTGTGGGGGAACTTCACTGGGGAAAATTAGGCTAATCCCATCTGGATCCATTTGGCACCACTAAAAATGTGACAATCTGGTGATTGCCAGAGATCAGGGGAGAGGAGGATAAGGAGTAATTGTTTAAAGGATACTGAACTTCAGTTTTACAAGATGAAAAGATGGTGGTCATGACTGTACTACATTATGAATGAATTTAACACCACTAAACTATACACTTAAACTATACACTTAAAAATAGTTATGATGGTAAATTTCATGTTGTGTATTTTACCACAAAAAACAAAACAAAACAAAAAGCAATACAGTTACCCAGCAATTCCTAGGTTAAACCCAAAAGAACTGAAAACAAATACTAGGCGCAAAAACTCACACCTGCAATCCTATTATTCTGGAGGAAGAGACTGGGACTTTTCCAGTTGGAGGCAGCCCAGGCAAAAAGTTTGCAAGACCCCATCTCAACCAATAGAAAGCTGGGTGTGGTGGCATGCACATGTTGTCCCAGCTACACAGGGAGTATAAACAGGACCATATGAGAGACCCTACTTGAAAAATAGCTAAAGCAAAAAGGACTTGGAGCATGGCTCAAGTTGTAGAGCCCCCACCTAGCAAGTGTAAGGCCCTGAATTCAGACCCTAGTATCCCCCCCCACAAAAAAAAGAACTGAAAACACAGACTCATATACACTTGCATATGAAGAGTCAAAGATCATTATTCAAAAAAGCTAAATGAAAAAGGTAACCGAAGTGTCTACCAATAAATAAAATGTATCTCCAAACAAAAAAATCTTCAGTCATGAAGGAAATGAAGTTCATGCTACAACATGAATGAACCCTGAAAACACACCATGCTAAGTGAAAGAAGCCAGATACCCAGGCACAAGAGGCACTATTAAGTGACTATACTCATGAAATATCAAGAATAGGCAAATTTATAGAAAACAGAATAAAGGTTATTGGGGGCAGGGGTAGGAGGATGGCAGCTACTGCTTGATGGGTATGGAGTTTCTGCTGGGGCCATGGACAGACTCTGGGAATGGCTAGTGGTGACAGCTGCAAAACTCTGTGAATGTATCCAATGCCACCAAACTGCACATTTAGCTATGGGTAAAACGATGAAATTTTTTGTTATGTGTATTTTACCATGATAAAAGGTTTGGTTTTTTTTTAAAGAAAAAATATTTCTGAAGTGTGATAGCCAAACTATTAGCATGTAGTATAACAGGATGCACACTTATGAAGTGTTCTTGTCCTCAAATGGACCAGAATCTAATCACACCTCTACAACATGCTAACAGATTATAGGAAATACACACAAGTAAAATGGTACCATGACAAAGTCATCAGCCACATTCAAAATGGGAGGTACACATTTAACCAAAAAACATGGGACTGAAAAGAGTGGGAAAGTGTTGTAGAATAAGAGACTGAAGTGACGGATTGATGATGCATTATGTGAACTCTGATCCTGATGCAAACAAGCAAATGCAGAAACTCTACATTTAACACAAATGGGGAAAGCTGAGTAAAGACTGGAAGTATTATAATGCATGGAGACTATGTTTTGAAAAACAATGAAGGCCAGGCACCAGTAGCTCATACCTGTTTAATCCAAGCTACTTGGAAGGCTGGGATCAGGATGATCACAGTTTGAAGCCAGCCTGGGCAAGGAGTTTGAGATCCCATTTCTACCAATAGTTGGAAATGGGGGTGCACACATGTCATCCCAGTGACACTGGGAAACCTAAAATAGGAGGATCATGGTCCAGGGCAGCTTGGGCAAAAAGCAAGATCCTATCACCAAAATAACCAGAGCAAAAAAGGCTGGAGGTGTAGCTAAAGTGGTAGAGCACCTGCCTCCCAAGTGTAAAGCCCTGAGTCCACACCCAGTACTGCCAAAAAAAAAAAAAAGAAGAAGAAGAAAAAGAAAAGGAGAACAAAAAACGATGGGGAAGGGGGAGTTGGGGACGTAGCTCAGTGGTGGAGTGGTACGGTACTTGCCTAGTCACAGTCATGTGAGGCCTTGGGATCAACTCCCATCACTAAAAAACAAAACCAAACCAAATGAGAGAACTGCCTATGTGTTAGAAATGAGCACGGAAAGATACAGGACTGAAAGGCCTCACACCTGGGGCAGAGTTGGTAACTATGGGTGCACAGGGTACATTATGTTATCTTCTCCATCTTTGCATTAAACTTCCCACCAAGAAAAGCTTTTAAACTGCACTGTTCTGAGGAAAGACATTCTAGAAGTTTCAGGCTGAGAAGATAACTGTGAAGAGTTAAATGCCAAAGGTAAGAGCTAAACAATGCCACTAGACGTGAAGGGGCGGTTAACTCAGGCATTTCATCTGTGTTAGTCTTTACCACCAAACATATGTGACAAAAACCCTTCAGCAGCAAAACTCATACACTCCAAGTAAGTTCTAAAATGGGTAACTTTACAAGCCATATGGTAACAATTCTACATGAGAATCAGGGTACAATAAACATGTGAACAGTTATGACTATCTTAGTAGCTAATACTCAGGAAGGTATCATTTATCCAAAACAAAGCCAATGAAAAGACTCAAATAGAGTAATGGATGAGTTCATTAAAACCCATCCTTTTAAAAAGCCAATTGGCTGAGTGCAGTAGCCCACACTCTCTGCTACTTGGGAGGTAGAAATAGGATTGTGGTTTGAGGCCAGCCTGTACAAAAAAAATAGTTAGTGAGACCCTCAACCCAAAGAACAAACCAGGTTATGTCTGGGATTACTGTGCCTGTTTATGCACATATAGAACAGGAGGGGAGCGGGGTAGGACTGTAGCCACACAGATGCCAGATTTGGGATTCTGGGTTCCAGTCATCCTTGTTCTTCTCATTCCAGATGTGTGATTTTTAGACATTTTCAACAGGTTCAAAATTGTTGACTGAATTCAAATGCTTCAAAAACTGGCACTTAATCTAAGGCATCTGTATTTCTCAATTAGCTGGAAGATGAAATTTATCAAGATAACCATTTTCTAACCATTCTGGATTAAGAGGAGTTAAAGCCCAAGTCTTTTTGCTAGGACCATGTTTCAAAGACACCTCCCCTAAAAGAGTAAGGAGGCCAACAGAAGAGAGGGAATGACTCACAGTCCAAATACAGCAGAGCACCACCAGGCACACACCTTTAGACACACTTAATGTGCCCAGTTCCAATCTTTACCTTGGGTGTTCTGGAAATAATGTCGCCACAAAGGTCTGATTTTGTCCTGGCCACCAACATCCCAAACTGTGAAGCTGATGTTTTTATATTCTACTGTCTCCACATTGAAGCCTAAGTTGGAAAGATGGAGAAAACTTTTAGTTATTTTTGCTGGTTGAACAATTCAAAACAATTTCAACTGATATTTGAAAAGCACTTTTAACTTAGTATGTTAGTCAAAGATCTATACCTTTCAAAGAGAAAGTGCTGGCTTATTCTACCATTCATTGTGCCTGGGGGCCTTAAACCTTCTCTATTCCAATCTCCAACCACCCAGCTCCCCTTTCTCTTAGCAGAAGACCTGACAGTACACTTCACAGCAAAGAGAAGGCATCTATGGAATATAAAAAGTCCCATGTTCACCCACAGTTTTCTTCCTCCACCTTGGAACAATGGAAGGGAGCAACCACTTCATGCCAATTCCTTCCGTCTATGTGCTGGATCACCCACTGAACCACCCAATTCAGAGACTGCCCAGAACCTTTCACTACTGCTATTCTCTCCCTCCTCCTAGTATCTCCAACCTGTCCTCCATGCCTAGCTCTGCTCTACCATGTTGCGTACCTGGTCTCACTGGGGTCAGCCAACAATCATTGTGTCAACAAATCCAATATATACTTCTTAGTTGTTATGTAATTTGATTTTCTATCTGATTCTACTGCTCATTCCTTCTCTGAAACCCTCCCATGGCTTCCCATTTCTTTCTGTCTTCAACTTCTCAGTCTCTCCTGATGATGGATTCCCATGATTCTGTTCTGCCCCATCCATTCTCTTCCCACACCCCTCCCTAGGCAACCTCACTCACCCTCAAGGCTTCGTTACCATCTTTGTACTAACAATTTTCAGATATATATTTTCTGACCCAGACCTCTGTCCGGAACTTCAGGCTCATAATCCAACATCTACAGGTAGATGTCTCCCATCCCCCCAAGTAAGGCATTTTATCAAAAATGGATCTTAACATCCCTGTCCCTTCAACCCACTCTTCTACTAGTTATCCCCACTAGCAGAATACAGCTATAGAAGGAAGCCCAGGCAACTCAGAGGAGGCATGCCTAAGAATAATGCTTAAATCAAGATCAAGAGAATGAGCTGGCATTCACAAGATAAAGGGGGGAGGGAAGACTAGCAGAATGGCTCAACTGGTAGAGCACCTGCATAGCAAGTGTGAGGCCCTGAGTTCAAACCCCAGTACTGCCCACCCCCAAAAAATTACAAATTAAAGGAGAGAGGAAATAAGGATGATGTTAATACAGATCACTACTGAACTTTAAAAATTAGTTAGTATTCTATCACAGCTATATTTTTAATTAATTTTCATTGGGATGCTTAGGTTATTTTCAGTTGCTTTTGTAAATAATGCCAAAGTAAACATCTTTCCCATTTTTGCCGACATGTACTTTATTTCCTTGCAGTAATTCCTGGAGGAGGGCTGGTTAAAACAAATGTGTATTTGAAATGTGTACACAGGTTGCCAGACTGTTCTCCAAAAAATGGTGTGCCACCAACAATAAAATGTATTCTTGCTTTCTGGAAATCTGCCAATCTGATAGGGGAAAAACACTAACTTTTATAAGAATTTTCTTTATTGTAAGTGGATATATTTAAATGCCCCACCCTTTTGTATTTGTGCTTCTGTGACGTGTTCAGTTGTTTTTCTGTTGGGATATCTACACTGTGGGTCAGGAGTGACTCTTGTCATGTGTTTATTTCCAGTTGACAATTTTCCTTTCAACCTCATTTTTTTAATTTTGTCACAGGGAAGTTTAAAATTATTAGGGAGACAAATAACACCTTCAGAAGTCTTCCCCACTTAAAGATCATAAAAGTATTTGCCAGTATTTTCTCCTGCTAATTTTACAGGGGTTTAGCACTGGAGGTGTGGCTCAAGCAGTAGAGCACTTGCTTTGCAAGCATGAAGCCAATTTCAAACCCCAGTCATCCCAAAAGAGAAAAAGCATCCTAATTTTATGAGATTTAAATTTTTCATTTTATAGAGCAAATATTCTATCCATGTAGAGTTAATTCTGCAGCTAAAAATACAGTAGGGATTTGGCTAAAATTTTTCAAATGGCAGACCAGTGCCACTGTTCATAACATTTTCTATGATGAAAGAGATGGTCTGTGTGTGCACTGTCTACTATGGTAGCCAGAACCACAAACAGCTTTTGAGTACTTAAAACTTAAAATGTGACAAGTGCCAGGCACTAGTGGCTCACGCCTACAGTTCTAGCTACTCAGGAGGCAGAGATCAGGAGGATCAAGGTACAAAGCACAAAGAGTTCTCAAGACCCTCTCTTGAAAACACCCAACACACACACAAAAAAGGGGCTGGAGGAGTGGCTCAAGTGATAAGAGTGTCTGCCTAGCAAGCATGAGCCCTGAGTTCAAACTCCAGTACCATAAAAAAAAAGTAACAAGTGTAACTGAGGAACTATACTTTTGATTGTATTTAACTTTAATTAAACTTAAATGCCACATATGGCTATGACTCATGGCTGTGTACTGGACTTCACAGGGGCAGACAGTTACCTTTTCTATGCTGGTTTGAAATACCTTACCATATAGTAAATTCTCAATGGTATGTGTATCTTTTTCTGAACCATTTCCTGATGTAGTCATTTGAACTCTAAGCAAGTGATATAGGGCTTGGTCATAGCTTTAGAAGTAACTCATTACTCATTTTCAGAGATTTCCTAGTTAGGCTTACTTGCTTATTCCTCCAGATTAAATTTAAGGTAACTTCACTAGGTTTCCTGCTCTACCACCCTCACCCACAGTGAAGAATGGCATTGAATTTATATACTTGTTCAGCAAGAATTTAGCTTGTGGTGTAATGAGTGTCTCTTTCTAAAATAAGACATAGCTGGAACTGAGGTTTGGTAGGTGAGCAGGTCTGAGTGGCTGTGGGCCTTGGCAGTTAGATCTGGGATTTGGGCTGTGGAAAGTCAAGGAAAGATCTATCTTCCCCTCTTGCTTCCTCCATTCCTTCCTTCCTTCTTTTTTTTTTTTTGAGATGGGGTCTTGCCATGTACCTCAGACTAGCCTAGACTTGCAATTCTCCTGCCTCAGCCTTCCAAGAGCTGGGGTTACAAGCATGAGCCACCATGCTTGGGTTTTTTTTTAATTTAAAATATTTTGAACATACTTAAGTGTCTGGAAAAGTGATACACATTATTACCATGTTATGTGTTCTTCACAGGTATGAAGAACATACCTGATCACAGCATGGTGAATGGCTGGAGAGAAGTGTGGTTTCAGGGGATTGTTAAGGCTGTTTCAGTTACTGAGGCTAGAAATGATGGTCTCTTGGTTAGGGTGACTATTAGAAATTTAGAAAGCTGTACTGATACAGTTTGGTAATGAGACTCTGGGGGTGAAAGAACTGGAAGTGTGGGATGCTCCCAGGTATTCAGCTTCCTCAATGGATGGCAGCAGTCTTCCATGAGGACAAGTCTTAAGCACTTGTCAAATCTCTGCTGAATTACATTTGCTGATTTCCCACTGGACAAAGCAAGTCATAAAGCCAAGCTCAGCATTACTGTGGAAGGGGACTTCACTCAAGGGCATGGACACTGAGGGGCATAATTCATTGGGGGGGGCCAACAGTTTAACAATCTACCACAGAATCAGGATTCAATTCAACTAACCAAATACTGGACACCTAACATGGGCCAGGCATTTTACTAAATGCTGGGGACAACCATGATCCCCACTCTTATTTACACTGTTAGGAAGACAAACTGAACAAGAGACTATAAATGTACTGAGAGTCACTACGAACTTCAGACTGCTATGGAAACTTAGAATAGGGAAAAACTGGTCTAAGGGGTCAGGAAAGGCGCCTCTCAGAAATAATGTTTAAACTGAGACCAAAAGAATGAGCTGAAAAATGTTGTACTTCCACCAGAGCTAATTAATCAGAATCTGCCATTTTTCCACATTAAGATATAGAAAGATAGACTGATTGACAGATAAGATAGATGCCAGGCGCTGGTGGTTCACACCTCCAATCCTAACAGAAATCAGGAAGATCACAGTTTGAAGTCAGCCAGGGCAAACAGTTTGAGAGACCCTATTTAAAAAATTTCAACACAAAAAAGGGCTGGCTGAATGGCTCAAATAGAAGAGCGTCTACCTAGCAAGCATGAAGCCCTGACTTCAAACCCCAGTACTGCCAAAAAAAAATCGCGTAAGATTCTGGATCAGATATTTAGTGGTAGCCAGCCTGCCTAGCAAGCACAAGGCCCAGAGTTCAATCCCCAGGACTGAAAAAAAAAAAAAACACAAAACAATGAGCTGGCATTCACTAGGTAAAGGCGAAGGGCAAAGGAAGGCAGGAAAACATTCCAGAGAGGAAATGACACAGAAAGTGAACCAAACATATTGTCTAATGCAAGCTAAGCTAGAAAACAGCACGCATATAATTTTACAAATATACCAAAATCTTAATGGTAGAACATTTTTAAAACCCATTTCTGTTTTTCTATATGATCATAGAAGCATGTATAATTTTTGTAATTAGAGAAATTCAAACAAACATGCTACTTTCATTTTGGACTAACACACTTTCAAACTGTTTGTGTGAACATTCTCATCAGTTTCTGCCTTCTTCAAATATTGCAATCTCTGAAGTGAGTGCCCAATATGAAGGTTGGTCCTTTGGCTCCTGTGCCCATTCACATACCATCCTGCGGAGTATAACACACTCAGGAGTATGGTTCTCCAGGCAGTTCACAAGGTAAAGATTAAGTTCTGTCAAAACTGTCTTTGCAAATCTCTTACAGAGCCCAGAAAACAAAGTGCTGGTTCCCAGTAAGACCACTACTGCCAAACTGTCAAGTTTCTTCAGTTGGACATCATCTCGAGTAGTTAGTTTACACCAGAGTGAAGAGAACTCACGCTCCATCTTTAATCCTGGGAGCACATTTGAAGGTGAGAGACACTCCCGAGAGAGGCCAGCTAGAACTGAGGCTGACCAAAAGGCAGTACCAGCTCCCAGCTCAGGCCAGCACCAGAATCCACACTGAGAGGAACAGAGGGCTGAACTCTCCTCACTGTTTTAATTGTTACTATCTTCTTCTTCTTTGCCAAGCAAAGGGAGCTAAACTTGCTTAACCTAAATATGTTTGCATGACGACACTGTAAGCCAAGGAATGTGCTACAAATGCTGAGGGAGCTTTTGGCCACAAAAAGTTCATGCTTTCAGCTGGGCACCACTGGCTCATGCCTATAATCCTAGCTACTTGGGAAGCTAAGATAAGAAGGATCGAGGTTAAGAGGCTAGCCCTGGCAAACAGTTCGCAAGACCTCTTCTCCAAAATAACCAAAGCAAAATGGACTGGAGGTGTAGCTCAAACAGGAAAGTGCCTGCTTTGCAAGTGTAAAGCCCTGAGTTCAAAACCCCAGTCGTTCCCCCCCCACACACACACACACATAAAAAGTTTATCCTCTTGGATCAGGCAAGGTTTAAAAAAAAACCAGTAAAACAGAAGCACATAAAAGTATAACACACTAAACTGTACGGTGGACCTGCCACAGGTCACTGACATACCTATTGTAGGGATGGTGGTCACAATCTCTCCCAGCTTCAATTTATACAGGATGGTGGTTTTTCCAGCGGCATCCAAACCCACCATGAGAATCCGCATTTCCTTTTTCCCAAACAGACTTTTAAACAGCTTTTCAAAAACGTTCCCCATTGGGATTGACTTCTGTAACTTCAATGAATAGAAAAGTCAAATAATTATTCTTTACTGAGATACAAAAGCAACATACATAAGATACGCATTGTAATTAGAGGTGGTTCCTAGATAAAGTTAAAACAATGTGAAGAACCATTTGACCAATAAGGAAGAGTCTTGGTTTCAAGGGGAAACTCAACTAAGTCTTTTGATGCCCTGCTAGAAAATTCTGTTTCCACTGCAGCATCCAAGTGGGATGTGCAGAAGCACATCTCAATGCCACACTCAGGTGGCAACTTTTAGTCACATTAGGCACAGAAACAATGCCACAGCACACACATCTAAACCTTGTTCTAAACTCTCTTGAAATGAGAACTTATAAAGCAGACACATAATATGAAGCAAAATCTTTAAGGCAGGTGAAATAATGCTATCACGTGGAAATGATGGTTGCCTTTGGCAAGAAGACACAAAAATACCCAGAAACAAACCTAAGAAATTTCAGAGTTGAGGAAACCCAGCACCGGGAAAGTACATCTGAAGGAGATCTTAAGCAGGCAAAGAGTTAAGAAGAGCCCTTGGAATCCAGTGTGTTATGGGGCGACCATCACCTTCCTCTTAACCAGAAATGAAAACTTTTCACTGAAGTAGAATTTACAGAGATCAAACATGACTTTAAAGTTCAATGGATTTTCATGAACCAAACACACACCTATGTGGCTACCAGACCAGATTCTCCTTGTGCCCCTCCCAGTAACTACTCCCTAAAGGGGTAATTAATTACTTTACCGACATCCAACTGCATAAATGTTCCACATTTTATTTTTCAGAAGAGTGGCAGTAGGTTATAGACAGGAAGGCAACAGTAAAGTCAGATTAGCTTTGCAGAAATTTACAGGCTTTTTCCTTTTAACAGATCAGCCTACTTGAATTATGAGCTTATCATTCCAATGAAAGACTCAAAAATAAGTACCATGTCTAACACTTCTAACAAGCTCTTGGAACTCGATAAAGACTGGCCAAAAAAGAAAAAGACATCTGTAGTCTAGAAACTACGATTTTCCTTTTAAATTGCTAACCAAGGAAAGTTTTACTGGGGAGGAAAGAATGTAACAAGGATAGCCAAGCACTTATTCATCCGGACCCTAGTGACCTCGGAGGGGAGGTCACCGGATTCCCAGAGGCCCCACCTCTGAAATCCAAGTTTCCTACAATAGATTAATACATGGTTCCGTCCTAAGTACACACCACTTCCTTCTGCGAGGATAGATGGCTAGGACAGAATTTCTCCTATATACACATGAGGAACAGGTGACCAGAGGATGATCGCTTGAACCATTCCTACAAGGTTCATTATAGGTCTAAAATGGCCCAGTGCATTCAAAATCTTGCTGGGCGACAAAACTAGAGATTCCATTCCTTTGTTTCCGGTAAAAGGCCAGTCTCACAAACTGGAGGACGGAAGGGATTGACCGCTTCGAGGCCCCTGGAAGCGGCAATGTCCGGTCCCCGGCCAAGCGCACGCCGCTGTCCTTGCTCCCTTTCCTCGTCTTCCCAAGTCCCGTGCGAGAAGTCCTAGGCCCCAGGTTCCGCTAGAACTGAATAAGAAGCCACCAGCTCCAGGGCCCCTCTGGCATTGTTCCCAAATGTTCATGGGGAAGAAAGCACGGCGAGACCTCAAGGGCACAAACGACAGCGGGGGCCAAGGTGAGCGTGTGCGCGGCTGCCGGGTACGCGCGCCCAGGGACCCGGACAAGCCGCAGAGTGCCCTTCCCGCCCGGGCCACCAGGCCGCTCCCCATCAACCTGTGGACCCTCGGGAAAGCGGAGGGTCACGCTGACGGAGCTAGCCAAGCCATCTCTCGGGTCCCGCTTGCCCTGCCCCACGGAGGACGGGGGAGGGACAGCGAGCCCAACCCCTTTTCGCAGGCCACCGCCTCTCACCAGTTTCCCGCCTGCTAACGGACCGGAAGTCCAGCCGGGCCTTAAGTGCCGCTGTCCCTTCCTTCCAAGCCCAAGACTCACCTGCCACCCCTCTGAACACCGATTTAGACACTGTTAACGACAGCACTACCAACAAACACTGCCTTTAGGATTTCGGCTCCTCTCAGCAAAATGGCGACTGTCCGGGGGCGGGAATAGCAACCAGCCAATCACTCACTGTCTCTTGAAGCCTTTACACCAATAACGTCAAAGTTGCGTGAGTGACGACAGATTTGACCAATGCGAAGGACAATAAGGGCTAGGTCAGGAAGGGGCCCGCCCCCCGCGACCTAGGCGACGGCAACACGCTCTGGAAACGCCGGGTTGATCTTCCAATGAGAGCTCACCGCCTCTCGGTGAGCCGCGCCCACATGCCCCACCCCGATGCCGCGTGCGGCCAATCAGAAAAGCAAAAGCATTTCCGATTTGCACCGCCAATAAACTCGGAAAAAAAAATCTCAAAGATTGAACTAATCCCGGGAGCATTCGGGCCAACCCGGAGCGGGCATGTGGGCGGGGCCAGGGTCGTAGTGATATTTAAGGAAATTGGCCCGGGTTGAGCTAAAAGTAGAAACTAGTTTGAGGCAGTGTTCCGGGTAGTAAACACCCAGACAACACCGGTGCCGAAATTAGGCATAAAGAAGAGTTATTCGGTCTCAAACTAGACTGCTGCCCTTCCTATAAACAGAATTTCACCGCTTGGGGGAAATTCAGCCAACTGTACCTTCCAGACGTCCTAGAGCCACAGTCTCTTCTTGAGCAAGCTTTTTCATTTCTTGAGAAAGGTTTTCAATAACTCAGTCCCCTAAATGTCAACTTGTTCAGCTAAAAAGGTTACAAAGGCACATATAATGTGTGCCAAGAACTACGTCAAGGACTTTATCTGCGTGATCATAGTGTCCCACGAATTAGAAAGTATCACTCTCATCTTACAAAAAGGAAAATTAAGTAGCCTAGCAGAAATTCAAGCCTGGATGTGTCTGACATCTTAATGTCTTTAATCAAATAGTTTCTCTTCTGGTTATAGTAATTACACATATGAAGGTAAATATATAAAGGTACATATAAGTTTTTCTACTTGACTCCTTAAAAATTAAAGAATATTTTTCTATTATATACGTATAGTATATAGTCATTTGTTAAAGTACATGGAATAAAGGCACCCGCAAACCCTCCCCCCACACACCCACACATAAAGAGAAGGAAGAGGAGAAAGGGGAGGTTGGAAAAGGAAATGTCAGCCACCATCCAAAGGTACTGTTACCATTTTAGTTAATGTCTCTCTCTGGCCATTTTTCTATGTAAATTTTAAATAGATTCTGAGCACATATAGTTTTGTCTTTTCCCATTTATTTTGACTTGAGCATTTCCCACGTTGTTTGACATTTTCTTAAGCATCATTTGTAATAGATGCATGGTACTCTATTGTGTGAATGTACCCTAATTTGTTTAACTTTCATGTAGTTCAACATTTAAGTTGTTTCTAAGCTTTTCTATTATGAATAATGTTGCAGTGAACATATTTTTTCTTCCGTATTTGTCACTATTTTTTAAGGAAGGAGTTCCAAAATTATAATTACTAGTTTAAGGCTCTTGATACATACTACATTGCCAAATTGTTTTCTGAGTAAATTCTAAAAGTTATATGCAAGGCAAGGTTCAGTGGCTTATGCTTACAATCCCAGCTACTTCGGAGGTAGAGATCAGGAGGATTGAGATTCAAGTCTAGCATGGTCAAAAGGTTAATGAGACCACATCTCAACAAATACTCTGGGCATGGTGGTTCACATCTGTAACCCAAGCTATTTGAAGTTATATATAGGAGGATCTTGGTCTGAAACTGGCTCTGAACAAAAAATCAAGACCCTATCCAGAAAACAACTCAAGCAAAAAAGGCTGGGTGTGTGGCTCAGGGTGTAGAATGCCTGCCTAGCAAGCATGAGGCCTTGAGTTCAAACTCCATTACAACCAAAAAGTTTTTTTAAGTTGCACATTTAATAACTCAGTGAAAGCCATGCTTACTTCATCATTGGTGGCACTGGGGTTTGAACTCAGGACGTCATACTTGCTAGACAGGTGTTCTACCACTTGAGCCATTCCACCATCTTTTTAAAAATAGGTTTTCATTGAGGAAAAGGAACTTTCAGTCATTGCTGATGGCAAAACAAAATGGAATCTACTTTGGAAGATCGTTTGCTGCTGGGCATGGTGTGGTCTGCCTGTAGTTCCAGCACTTGGGAGGCTGAGTCAGGAGGATCTGGGGTTCAAAGCCTAATGAAAATTATGGGTTTTGATAAGGGCTTCATAGTGAGATCCTGTCTCAAAGAAAAAAAAATACTAAAACTTACCATACTTTTACCAAAAAGAGTTAAGCAATCCATGTATTTGACTTCTATGAAAAAAAAAAACAAGAGTTGAGTAAGAGTCAGGCATAAGTAAAATTTATGTCCACACAAAAACTTGTGCATGGATGTTTATAGTATCTTTATTCACAATTGCTAAAACTCAACCTTGATAAACTGTAGGACATCCAGTCAATGCAATTTTATTCAGCACTCGAAAGAATGAGCTCTGAAGCCATGAAGAGACATGGAAGAACCTTCAAAGCACATTCCTAAGTGGATGAAGCCAGTCTGAAAAGGTGATATACTATGTCACTACAAGTCTATGACATTCTGGGGAAGGCAAAACTGCAAAGACAGTCAAAAAGCTGACAGTTTCAAGAGGATAGTAGAGAAGGAGGGGTGAATAGGTGGAACACAGAGCATTTTATTAAGGAAGTAAATCTATTCTGATTAAGAATAATAATGGCTACATGGTATTCTACATTTGTCTAAACCCAGGAAATGTACAAACCAAGAGTGAGTTCTAATGAAAACTATGGACTATAAGTGATGGCACTGTGACAGTGTCGTTCATCAGTCACAACAAAGGTACCAGGATAAGGCAATGATATGGTACATGGATTAGCTCTATACATTCCTCTCAATTTGCTGTGAACTTAAAATACTATTTAAAAAAAAAGAGCCTAAAAAAAGGTTGGTTTTTGATAAGGTGTTTTTCTAATTTATCAACCAAAACCAAAATCTCATAGTTTTAATTTTTACTACTTTGATTGCCTGGTTTTTTTTTCTAAATATTTACTAGTATTTATTTCATCTATTACAAGTGATGAATCATGTCCTTCTAGGTAGCTTCCCAGGCAAAGATGTAAAGTTGTTTTGCTAGTGACTGTGAAGTTTGTCTGTCTGAACTGGGTCAGTCTTCATAATCTGGAAAAAAAAAAAAGAGGTGAAATAGCAAAAGTAAGATTTTTACCTACCATTGTTTGTATCTGCAGAAGGAATTCTGGCCAGTGGTGATGAGGATTTATCCCTTCCCTTCTGACAAGTGGAGAATATTAACTATTTTTGTAAGATTTGCATTGAGCCTACAAATAAAGCAAAGTCCCTGCCCACCACATGGCATTCCATTGCTGAGTCATTACATGACTGTAGCAGTCAGGACTATGAATACACACATGTTCTCCATATATTATGGGTTTCTTTCATTCTTTTTTTGTGCTAGGGATCAACCCCAGGGCTGTGCTTATGCTAGGCAAGCACTTTACCACTGAGCTACCTCCCCAGCCCATATTATACACGTTTTATGTGCACATATATGTCTGTGTTAGCTTCCATCACTGTAACAAGACATCTGAGATCATCAGCTCAAAAAGAGCAAAGGTTCATTTTTGCTCACATCTTTGGAGTATGTTTTAGTCCATGACGAATGGGTCCTATTGCTTTGGGCCTGAAGCTCACTCATCTCATAGCTGGCAGTTGAGAGAGAGAGACAGAGAGAGAGAGAGAGATGAGTGAGACTGTTTTTAAGGGCATCACCTCTTAAAGGTCCCACCACCTCTCACTAGCATGATGGGCTGGGGTCCACATCTTTCACATTTGGGCCTTTGGGGGACATTCCAGATCTAAATGATAGGAATGTTGTGAATAGTTTTATAATGATATGTATTAGGGAAAGGCTAGAAGAAAATAGGTTTAACTTACTAGTGATTTTATTTATAAGGAAGGGTTGTATTTTTATTTTTGTTGTTTTTCTGAATTTTTTTTTTTTTTTTTGGCAGCACTGGGGTTTGAACTGAGTGCCTCATGTTTGCTCGGCAAGCGCTCTACCACTCTTGAGCCATGCCTCCAGTCCCTTCCATCCTGAATATTCTTAGATTAAAACAAACAAGCAGCTTCACTTCACATTTTGAAACAAAAATCATAAAGCAGTAAAACTGCTAAAATTGGAAGGTTGAGCATGTTGGAGGTGGGGTGCCTCAGTCACATCTCGGAATTCTGCTCACCTAATTCTGCTTCTGAAGTGGACAACACCAGAACAGCAAGTTGAGAATGCACAGTTTCCTAGGCGTTTCCCCAGTTTGGCCCTTCTCCCTGGCTTTCCCAAGGCTTCTCTCCCTGACTCCCTGTCACAAGGCTGACTCCTTTCTAGGGCTGGAGCAGGGTTCATCAACCATAAGTACCAGGGCCAACAGGTTCAGCCCTGAATGCGACTCTAGAAGAGGACTCTTTGGTCTTTGCCCCGCTGACCTCCTTCATTGGAGGCTGTGATTTTTTAAAGTGACCAAGGGAAAATTGTGTACTGATTTTATAATGGAAAACTCAACTTATTTTTTAACAACAACAACAAAAAAAAACAGGGGTTAGGGAGGTAGCTAGGTAGTAGAGTGCTTGCCAGACATGTGCCAAACCCTGGGTTCTATCCCCATCACAGCAAAAGAAAGAAAAATATTAAAATAAAATAAAAACTGGTGATTAGAAGCCAGGCTCAGGAGGCAGAGATCAGGAGGATGGAGATTTGAAGCCAGCCTGGGCAAATAGTCCCGCAAGACCCTATCTCAAAAAAAAAAAAAAACCCATCACAAAAAAAAGAGGTGGCTGGTGGAGTGGCTCAGAGTGTAGGCCCTGAGTTCAATTGAGCCCCAGAATCATAAAACAAAACAAAAAACAAGTGATTAGAAAGGAGGTTTGATTGAAATTACCATGGCTGTCCAGGAGAATTTCATCAATCTCAAACCACAGTCACTCAATAAGCACAAATTGCTTATTGATTTAATGGGGTTTTTTGGGTT